ATAAGGGCAAGAGGATTGAAAGAAACAGAACTTTTAGTTCCTCCCTTCTACCTAGTGAATAGAGGGACAGTTGTCCTAGATGTTCTCCCTTCTACCTAGTGAATAGAGGGACAGTTAAGGAAAACAAAAAACCCAAGGTAATTTCATGACTTCTCAACAATTAATGTGATATACTTGGAGGTATTATGTGAATAACACCATCTTGGTTTTTTAGCACTGTCAGTTTTGCAGCGTTCCTGGGAGTACTATATTTGACTGCGCTTCCAGAAACATTTTCAGCTAGGATAGAGAAACTTAAAAAAACTCATGTAAATAAGTGGCTTTTCCTCAGAACTCCAGGAGTCCTTGACAGTGGAATAGCATTTAAAAAACCCCCCTTTCTCTGTAAAGGCTTCTGTATCATGACTTTTATGGTGGTCACACATTACTGTATATTGTTGAGAAAAAGGGCTAAGACTAGAAGAGGCACATAGAAGAACAAAAGGAAACAATCAGTTTCACTGGATTTTAGTAGGGCATCAAAGACACAGCTAGGAAAGCACATCATCTCCCAAGGTTGTTCTCCCCCATATAGCAATGCAGATACAATTCAGAAACATAATGAAAACTTGCCCCAAACAATTCTACTTCAAGCATGACTTGTGTAAAATTACTAACATATTATATAACAAAAACATTCAATCTGAAGTAAACTTTCCCAGACTCTGGCACTACTGCATAGGGCTTACATCATCAACTGAAAGTTCATGATGAGAATAACATGTTATTTATTTATTGAGCTATGTCATGTGTGTTCCTTATTACATCCTGAGGATTTTTCTCTGTCGCTTACTCCTGTGATAGGTAGGAGAGAAGAGAGCAGTTTCCCAGTAGCTAGATTTGATTACTGAGAAGGATATCTTGTCTGCAATGTCCTGGTTGGCTCACTTAGAGGATTAAGGTGTAATTCATCAGGATCAATTAAGAACTTAACAATTTGGGGGAAGAGGTATAAGGCTGCATTCTTTCTCTCTGTATATACACTGCCAAAAAGTCTAAATAAATGAAACAAACACAAAGCAGCCAACTGATTCTCAGTCAACACTCAGATCAACCTAGTCATACTAGAAAATAGGACAGCAAACTAAAGCTGACTTCCCAATATCTGTTTTGGATTGGAACTGGAATCTGAGGAGATCCAAAACTAAGTTTTTGGGTTGCTTCTTTTAAGAGTAATTCTTTGATTTTACTCTACCAATAATCTCTCGGTAATGGTTTCCTTCAGTTTTCATTTGCTTTTGAGAGTACATGGCTAGCCATAGCTGCATAAAAGCTACTTACATAAGCATATTCCAAACTGACAAACTAAAATTTTACATGGAAACAGGGCATGTAGACAGGAATT